TTATATTAGACCCAATATAGTCAGTTTTTTAACTGTTCCATATGTACTTAAGTGCATATTGTACAGTTCGGTATAGTGTTCCATGTATGTCTATTACTCGTGTTTAAATTTCCTATATCCTTACAGAACTTTTGTCTACTTATTTGATGTATTATGGAGAAAGTTATGTTACAATCTTACTCTGTGATTTCGAATTCATATATATAATCTAATTCTAACAATTTTTATGGTATATATTTTCAATCTATGTTATTAGATATATAGTGCTAATATAGCAACACTGGCTTTCTATAAGTTAGTGTTTGCATAGTACATCTTTTTCCATCCTTTTACTTTCAATCTTTCTTTGTCCTCAAGAGTTTAGACATTCATTACTAAACTCTTATGTTTACCCCTTTAAAGGGAATGTATCTTGTTCCCTCTAGCTGCTATTATGTTTTTCCTTTGTTTTCCAGTTTTACTGTAACGTGCATAGATTTGGTTTCCTTTGTTTTTATTTTGATAAGTAAAAAGGGTTCATAGTACTTTTGTAAAACCATGCTGTAATACCATTTTGATAAATTCTTAGCTCTTATTTGTTCAAATATTGCTTCTGCCCCCTTTTACCTTTTCATCTTATCCACTGTGTCTCTTATGAACTTTTCTATATTTTCCATTCTCCTTTTGTCTTTTTCTGCCTCGTTCTAGATTTTTTTTTTGACTCATGTTCCAGCAGATTAATACATACCTGGAAATGCTGCTTCTAAGCTTTTAATCTGAAGAAGCAATCAGATATGTACACAAAAGATTTATGTTCAAATATTTCTAGTAATATGGATTTTTAAACATAAATTGTAGTATATCTGTATAACAGATTATATGCAGCCATAAAAATTAATATGCAGAATATTTAATAACAGAAACATGATATGTTAAGGGAGGAAACTAGATTATAAAAAATATTGTATTATCCCAATTTTTAAAAACTACATAGAAAAAGACAAAAACACATTAAAATGTAAAATTTTAGCTATGGATTATGAGATTATGATTAATTTTTAGTTTCTTTTTGCTTTTCTGAATGGTACAAATTTTTCCTAGTGAAAAATATACTGTTGTTATAAAGGGAACAAAAGTTATTTTTAAACCCTGATTAAACTCCTAAAACTCCATTTTATCAGGGATACATCTTTTTTGTAAAGAAATATGTACTTAATTCTGGACTTTTATAATGCTTGGCTTAGAAGTAGATGTAGCTAGTAAAAATTGGTCATCATTTTGTAAACACAAAGATAAGCCCTTTAAATTTTTATTTAAAACCTCAGTAATGTTAGGTATAATTATTCATGTTGCAAAGGGACTCTTCACAAGAATTTCTTCACAAAGTTTCTTTAATAGCCCATAATACAGCAACCAAAGATGCCTACTAAATATTTTTTCAGTGATCTGAAGGCAGTTGCTACTACCACAGCCATAGGTAAAATTGCTGAACACTTTAATTTTGTTTTCATCTCTCTGTCACTTCTTATTTTCTCTTCCCTTAGGCCCTCTTACCTTTTCTAGGCATCTTTTAACCTCTTTCACATAATCTCTAGGTACCCAGTCTTATGTTACCTTCAACCCTCCTCCTTCCTACTTCTTACCCTTATTACTTAACCCACAAATCAAAATTTCCATTTCACAGTGTAATTTTCCTCAGGAAAGTATTAAAGCCACTCATATTATCTTACTAAAGTAGCTCTCCATAAGGTATAAAGGACTGATGATTAGGTTTTCTAGAATAATACTGCTGCTAAGATATCCAATAATTTAATACTAGTAGTATTATCTCTTCTAGCTGTTGATTTAATGGGAAAAAAATGAGTTGTAAGCAGATAGCCTATAGATTTCAGCTTGACCACAATTTATGATTTATAAGTAGTAAAGAACAATGTGGCAGAGTTCATAAAAGCTTGGACTATGGATCCAGCTTGCCTAGGTTGGAATTTCAGCCTTACTAATGTATGACCTTGAAAAGTACTAGCTATATACTGTTTTACTACTTGTAACTTTTGAAAGATGAAACTCTATAAAGTAGACTTACCTTTGACATAATTCTCCTCTGGTTTATGTTTTTAGATTGCATGTGGAAATGAAGTTATACAAACACAAGTCCCTGCTGATAATCTACCCAATGATGTCACTGCAGTACCTACTCACTGTGAAGAAGGCCCAGTGCATAAAAGTACACAAATTTCTCTGAAAAGGCCCCCTCACCGTAGTGTGGGTATGTTTTGACTCTTCAGTTGATTGATCAATTGAATTGATCTTTTGTATATTAAAGATATATGAAAAGCAAAGCCTAACTCATAGGTACTTGTGCTTATTCTCTTTCAGGTATTCAGGCCAAAGTGAAAGCGTTAGGAAAACGACTGTGTAATGCAAGTACTCAGACAGATGAATGGTGGTCTAGAACTTCCTCTCTCTTTGACATTTACTCCAGTGATTCAGAAACAGATACAGACTGGGATATCAAGAGTGAACAGAGTGATTTGTCTTATATGGCCGTACAGGTGAAAGAAGAGACATGTTAAAAACACATCAAATGCTTTGATGTGCTATAGATTTTGAAATCTTTACTCACATAATTATATCTTTGCTGTTATAAATATTTCACTTCAGGATAATTTGAAAGTTGAGTATCAGCAAAATTTGTTTAGCTCTAAGGCAAAAATTTGCCTGCTTGCCAAGATAATGAAAGTAATCCCTGCATACACACCTCCCTACCCACTGATTTCACCTTTTTTATTTCTTTTTATCTCTGATGGAAATCAGGTTATAAAACAAAACCAGAGTAGCGATAACATTTCCTGATCAAAATTAAGCATTGAATATTTAAGCTCAGTTGAGAAGCAATGCTTCTATGGTACTTATTTGACATTCACCAGTTAGAATGTCACTATTCTTCTAAATAATTTGAAGGTAAAGAGCAATGGCAGTGAGCACAGCCAAGCCTGATAGCATTCAATGATTTGGGAGTGAAGATATGTTGTTTATTTGTTTGTCCATTTGTAACACTGTGAGATTTATGGATCAGTCCCTGTGAACATTTCTGGTGAAGGTAAAGCTCTTACAGAAAATTTTCAAAGGGAATCAATTTGGAGGTAGAGTTTCACATACTTAGGTTATCTTGTTAATGAAATCCATTTCCCTCATTTCCTACTGCAACAAATTAATTAGCTTGATTAATTTAGAGTGGAATTATTAACATCATACAAAAAAAAGTATTACATTTCTAACATATTCCCATTGTAGGTGTCAGTTTTTCTTTTATCAACATCTCTCTATTGAATTCTACATTTGGGAAATAAGTATGCAAAATTAGCTGCCCCATCTGCCATTCACCAGGAAAATTTCTATGGCAGTCTTGTACCATGAAGTAAATTGTTAAAATAGTTTCTGAGAAACTTACTATAACTCTGATCTTCTATTGAGAATAATAAAAGTAAACATCCATTTTATACCTCACATGTCTTATTAGTTCTGCATGATTGGAAGAACCTGCATGCATTTTATCCTAGAAGGTTTAAATAATACACCAAAGTGATTGTCTTCGTAATACACCAAAGTGATTGTCTTCGTAATACACCAAAGTGATTGTCTTCCAAAGATAATTTTATGTCTGAGTTCATTTGAATAATTTTAATTTTAAGGAAAAGAATAAAGTATAGGAGTTGTGAGCCTGAACAATGATTGTGTAACACATAGCATTATTATTATTATTATTATTATTGTTATTGCTGCTTTGGCTTGAATTTGAAATGACTGTTTTATGTTTTAAGAGAGCATTATGTTTTAAAGTTAGTCATACAGATTTTCTGAAGCTAAATACTGTCAGTAAGTACCTATCATGTTTTGAGCTTAGAAACAGCCCATCTCCTCATTCAAACCGTTATGAATGTTACATGTCCATTACATCCCCAAATTTCACTCCTATGAGTCTACTTCATTTCTACATGTTAAACAACTTTGATGGCCATATGAGTACTTTTTTTGCTATTCACTTAGTTTTTTTCTCCCACTAATTGAAAATTTATACTTGGTTTGTTGATTCACTTGATTTTACAATGTATTATGTAATGTTTCACTGCCATATACGGTAAAATGAAATACAGGTTTTATTTTAAATGACATGTAAGGAATTTATAGTTTCTATAATACCATTTAATATGTGTATAAATATTTTTAATTATCTTCATTTACTTTGTTGCCAGTTGATAGGGAAAAAGTTAGATTTACCTCAACACTCCCCATATCATTCTTCATTTATTTATTCAATAAGTACTTATTAAGCATATACTCTGTGCCAGACAACTGTTCTAGACACTAAGGATACAGTGGTGAACAAGACAGACAAAGATTCTACCCCCTTGGCACTTACCTTTTAGTGGGGGAGCCAGGTAATAAACAAGAAAATGAATGAATAATTTCAGATAGTGATTAGTGCTTTGAAGAAAATAAAGTAGGATAAGATGTTCAAGCATAATTGGGATGGAGGGAGAGGTTTGCTGAAGAGCTCTTTTACTTATTTATTTTTATTTTTGTAATTTTTATTTTATTTTATTTTATTTATTTTTTTGAGACAGAGTCTCACTCTGTTGCCTGGGCTAGAGTGCTGTGGCATCAGCCTAGCTCGCAGCAACATCAAACTCCCAGGCTCAAGCAATCCTCCTGCCTCAGCCTCCTGCGTAGCTGGGACAACAGGCGCATGCCACCATACCCAGCTAATTTTTTCTATTTTTAGTAGAGACAGGGTCTTGCTCTTGCTCAGGCTGGTCTTGAACTCCTGACCTCAAGCGGTCCTCCCACCTTGGCCTCCCAGAGTACTAGGATTACAAACGTGAGCCACTGCATCCAGCCTATTTTATTTTAGAGATGAGGGTCTTGCTATATTGCCCAAGTTGGTCTTGAACTCCTGGCCTCAATTGATCCTCCTGCCTCAGTCTCCCAAGGTGCTGAGATTACAGGCATGAACCACCACACCTGGTTTGAGGAGCTCTTTTAGGTAGGATAGTCAGAATAGGCCTCTCTGGGAAGAGTATATATGATCAGAGACCTGGATGAATAGAAGAAACAACCATGTAATGATCGGAGGAAAGAGCATTCCAGGCGATAGGAACAGCAAGTGCTCTGGTATGTTTGAGGAACAGCAAGAAGACCAGGGTGGCTGGAGATAATGAAATAGGCAGGGAATTGTAATATTGGAGTGGTATGTAGGAACAGACCATGCTAAGGTATTAGAGGCAACAATCAGGAATTTTTACTTTATTTTAGGCTTAAATTCTATTTTAAATGTATTCTGATGGTTTAATTATTTGCCAATATTTATTTCTTAAACTTAATTGGATACACAGGAAGAATGATTGTACTTTAGGTGAGAAAAGAGAGTCATGTCGAGTAAGTGAATGTAAAGTTTATTCAGTCAAAAATATTCATCTACTAAAATTCTGGAACGCTTCAGTCTTGCTAGTCTGTGGAATCAGTGGTAAGAATTCAGGGCTTCCAGAGTGAAAAGTGATGGGGCAAGTCACGGAAAAGAGTAAGCCAGAGGGGAGAGGGCCCAAAATCTGCTTGTACACTCCACCCGATCTCTGACTAATCACCGAGTGATGCCTGTGTTGTGACCACAGGGGGACCAGCACAAAGCCACAGTTGGAAGCATCAGCTTAGCCGCTACCCATCTCAGTGGAAATGAAGTCTGGAGTTTGAGTCCAGCTGTTGGAACAAAATTCAACTGCTTTGGAAGAAGATAACAGAATTTGTCATCCAAAATGTCTAGCATATAATTTAAAATTATTAGTCATGTGCAGAAATTGGAAAGTGTGTCCTGTAATCATGACAAAAAAAGAATCAATAGAAACCGACTCCAAGAGGACCAGAAGTTGGAGTTAGCAGATAAGAACTTTAAAGCAGCTGTTATAAATACGTTCCAAGAGGAAAATAGAATAATAATGAATGAAGAGATGGGAGGAATCTCAGCAAAGAAACTGAAAACAAAGAAAACAACCAAATAGAAATTCTAAAACTGAAAATAGATAAGCCTTCAAAATTGGCACAAGAAGAAACAGAAAATCTGAGTAGTCCTATATGTACTAAAGGAATTGAATTTGCAATTGTAATCCTTTCCACAAAGAAAACTCTGGGCCCAGATGACTTCCCTTATATATTCGATTAAACACATAAGAAAGAACACCAATCTTACACAAGCTCTTCCAAGAAAAAAAGACTAGGGAACACTTTCATGAGTTCAGCATTATCCTATTACTGAAACTAGGCAAAGACATTTTAAGAAAAGAGATTGCAAGCCAATATCCCTGTGAACATAGATGTGAACCCTTAACAAACAGCAAACATCCTGGAATGTATTATAAAAGTAATACATCTCATCCAAGTACAGTTTAGCTCAGCATTAGAAGATTGATTTCGCATTCAAAAACCAATCAACATAATGCACCACATTGAGAATAAAGTAGGAAAATCATTCCATTGCATTAGATTTTGAAAGAACATTTTACAAAAGTCAACATTTGTGCATGATAAAACCTACCAGAAAACTAAGAATAGAAAAGAATTTACTTACTTGACCTAATAGCAGCCATGAAGTATATACCAATAATATCACAGTTAATGTTCCCTTGAAAGCTTTATCCCTAAGACTGGGAACAAGGTAAAGATGTTGACTCTTGAATACTTCTATTCAACATTGTACCAAAGATCCTAGCCAGTGCAATAATGAAGAAAAAAAAAGGAAAGAAGGAAGAAAGTAAAAGAAAATGCATCAATGTTTCAAAGGAAGAAATAAGGTCTCTTTTTATAGGTGATATGATCATGTACATAGAAACTACTAAGAAATGTAAAAAAAAAAAAAGCCTACTAGAACCAATAAATGGGTTTAGCAAGATCAATGTATAAAAATCAACTTTATTTCTATATGATGAACAATTGGAAAGTGAAATAATTTCATTTACAACATGGAAAAAGCAAAGGATTTAAAATAAGTATTGGAGAGAGAAAGAGCAATTAGAACTTTTATACATTGCTGGTGGGAATATAAAATGTTACAACCACTTTGGAAAACAGCTTGGCAAACTTCGGTAAAGGTAACATATCCAAATCATTCAATCAAATAATCCCACTCCTAGGTATTTGCCCAAGAGAAAATACATGTCTGCACAAACACTTTCACACAAATGCTCATAGGAGCCAAAACCTGAAAACAACTCAACTGTCCGCCAACAGGTGAGTTGATAAGCAAATTGTTTATATCCATACAACAAAATTCCCTTAGAAATTAATAGAACAAACATACACATAACTACGTGGATGAATTTTGAAAACCTTATGGTAAGTAAAAAAATTCAGACTCAAATAAAAGTACATATTCAACATTTCCATTTGTATAAAACTCTAGAGAAGAGAAATCTATAGTGACAGAAAATCAGTGGTTGCCTAAGACTGGGGCAGGGGACACTCCCTGCAAAAGTGCATAAGAAAACATTTGGGGATGATGGAATGTTTTATATCCTGATGTGAC